CATGCTGCGACAATGTACGAGCAAGCATCCAAGGGATTAAGATACACTGTTACTCTATTTACTCTTTGCCTACATAGAAGTACCACAGGAATCAACAGGATTCTCACCTTTTGAGCTCCTGTATGGAAGAGCTGTTCGTGGACTGTTGGATGTCCTGAAAGAGAGCTGGGAAGGCAAAGAGCATTGTTCAGAGAATATTGTCACTTACATCACAGAAATGAGGAGACACCTAGAAGAGACAGTGGAGGTGGTCAAAGAGAACATGAAGAAATCACAAGGAAGGCAAAAGATGTGGTATGACCGTAGAGCAAGAAACAAAGTGTTTAAAGAGGGTGATAAGGTTTTAGTTCTACTTCCATCAAGCACACACAAACTAACTGCAGAATGGCAAGGTCCATATAGAGTCAAGCGTCGAGAAGAAAGACCACTAAGACTTTCCATGTAAATATACTGAAACAATGGTATGAACCAGTGGATACAAGTTTCCTTATTTGGTGTATCTCACAGAATGAAGAATGTGGAGAGATTCCCCTGTTAAATGGAGACAACACCGAGACTAACAAGATGACAAGGGGGAAGGAACTAGATGCAAAACAGCAGGAGGATTTAGCCAGTGTAATAACTAAGTGCAATGATGTCATCACAGCAAAGTTGGGACGAACTATAGCCACAGAACATTGAATCTATGTGGTGGATGCTACCCCTTGCTGCCAATGACCCTACCGGCTACCATATACTAAGTATGAAGAGGTGAGGAACGAGTTAAAAAAAATGGAAGAGATGAGGGTCATCAAACAGTCATGTAGTGAATGGGCAGCACCTATAGTGGTAGTACCAAAGAAGGATGGAACCATTCGCCAATGTGTGGACTATCGCAAATTGAACAAGGTATCAAAGTTTGATGCATATCCAGTACCACGTGTTGATGAGATGATTGATTGTGTTGGGAATGGGAGGTATATTACTACATTAGACCTCAACAAAGGGTATTGGCAAATACCAATGGAAGAGACTGCTAGAGATAAGACCGCATTCATTACGCCATTTGGGGTCTACGAATTTACAATGATGCCATTTGGTCTACAGGGAGCCCCTGCAACTTTTCAAAGACTCATGGATTAGGTACTGCAAGGAACGGAACAGTTTGCTGGAGCCTATATTGATGATGTAGCTATCTACAGTGCAACATGAGAAGAACACCTTGTACACCTAAATCAAGTATTGACAAGGCTTCGCAAAGCTGGATTGACTGCCAATCCTAAGAAATGTAAGTTTGGAATGACTGAAGTATTGTATCTAGGTTACAAAATTGGGAAAGGTCAGGTTAGACCAGAGGATTCGAAAACAAAAGCTGTAATGGACTATCCTAGGCCAAGAACAAAGACAGACATTCGAGCATTCTTGGCTTGGTCGGATATTACACAAAATTCACCACAGTTTTCTAGTGTGACTGCACCACTCTCAGATTTGACTAAGAAAAAGGTGACAACCTTCCATTGGACAACAGAATGTGAAAGGGCATTCCAACAGGTTAAAAGATTACTATGTGAAGCACCAGTGCTAATAACACCAGACCTTAGTAAGGAGATAATTGTCCAAACTGATGCATCCAATCAAGGTGTAGGAGCAGTATTGAGTCAAGTGGGAGAGGATGGGGAGGATCATCGTCTCATATTTATCAGCCGAAAACTATTACCCAGGGAGGAAAAGTATGCTATTGTCGAGAAGGAGTGTCTGGCAGTAGTATGGGCAATACAGGTGCTCAGTGTTTTTTTATATCGAAAGGAATTTGTGCTCCAGACTGACCATCATGCTCTCTACTGGTTGGACCGGATGCATTCAAAGAATGCCTGACTGGTTTGTTGGAGTCTGTTTCTACAGGAGTGGCATTACAACATTCAGTACAGAAAAGGAACTATGAATGGCAATGCAGATGGACTCTCTAGACCGGTGTTTAACAGCGTGGCTGTTCACTTGAAGGGGAGGGAGATGTGATGGAACGAGACCCAGTAACCTTTAGTACCTTAAAGGAGAAAGGTCAAACCCCAATGTGTTAAGAACCTGGACATGAATTATCCAGAACATTCTATTTACTTTCTTTGTGTAAAGAACTTACTAGCTTATTGTACGTATGTAAAGAACCTTCTAGTTTGTACTGTAGAGAACTTTCTAGTTTGTCAGTTCTGTATAAATAGTCTGTGTTGGTTGTGTAAAAGGACGGCAATTTTTTAGTTGATTTTCTTTCTTTTTGTTGAGAAAAGTTTGTTTGAACCCACAAGTTCATCACAACCTCCTTGTAGAGTTTGAGAAGCATATCCCTTCTGTTACAGAAGGGATATGCTGCTGTCTATGCTTCCCGCATAGTCTACTCCTGTGTTACACAGGAGTAGACTATTAGGGGCGGGCCTCTTTATGTAAGTACAGGAGAGAAAGTGTGGATATGTCTCTTCACTTGTGTGGTAAGAGCCATTTATCTGGAACTGGTCCCAGATATGACTACACAAGCATTTCTTCGATGTTTTCGTGGATTTACAGCCCGGAGGGGATTTCCAATGAGAATGATATCTGATAATGCCAAGACTTGAATCCTCAAACTGATTCACAAAGAGGTATTAGAACAACCTGAAATAAAGCAGCATTTCTTTAATGTGAGTGTGGAATGGTCATTCAATTTAGAGAAGGCTCCATGGCATGGAGGACTGTTTGAGAGAATGATAAAATCCACTAAAACCTGCTTGAAGAAGACAGTTGGCAAAGCCAGACTCACATATGAAGACCTCCTTACATCTTTGACTGAAGTGGAAATGATTGTCAATTCACGTCTACTCACCTACTTGTCTGCTGACGAGATGGAAGAACCAATCACTCCGTCTCATTTATTAATTTGGAGAAGAGTTCTCACCCTTCCTCAAATTCCTCAGTCCTCAGATGAAGGTTATGGTACACCGATCACTCATTCAAAGGTCATTCGCAGAATGAATCACTTACAGCAGACACTAGACCATTTTTGGGATAGATGGAGGTGGGAATATCTAGTGGAGTTGAGATCAGTTCATCGGTACCCAACAAGATCAGGGGGGAGCCAGATTTCCTTAGGTCAGATAGTCATAATATACGATGAGAAGCAGCCTCGTGGACTATCGAGGTTAGGCTCTGTAAAGGGTCTTAAAAAGAGCTCTGATGGAGAGTTCAGAGGAGCAAAAGTCTTCACTCATTCCGAGGGAGGATGTCTGTGGTACTAAATCGCCCAGTACAGCATTTTTACCCCGTACATAGCAATGTAGATGATCGAGAAGATAATGAGAATTTAACTGAATCCCTTATGGACCAATCAACTGATCAAGTGGTTGAAGTTAAGACTAATCAACCAAAGTGAAAGGCAGCTACTCAAACTCAGGATAATGTATGCGTCCACACAATAGACTCAGACTAGTATCTGGTATGTTAATGTTTTTTATTATTATTTAGTAATTATTATTCACATGCTTAATTGTCTATGTTGATCATGAGATCAACGGGGGGGATATTGTTAATAATTACGTATTCATTATTATTGTTGTTAATAAATTGATGACGTATGATTTTGTAATTTGTTATTGTTGTAGAGAATTATTGAAGTGAAACAGTTAGAACACTCGTCTTGGCGCTCTAGTTATCTAGAGAGAGAGAGAGAGAGAGAGAGAGAGGGGGTAGACAGAGCAAGTAGAATAGAGGAGACTCCAGACAGATTATTTACAATGCCCACAAAATTTGAAAGGAATTGCTCAAGAGGATGCTGCACTATTTTTATAAAGAAGAAACTGCAACAATTATATCAACTTATAGATCTAACTGTGATTAAACACAGTAGTACCCGTAATGAACAAAAAATATAATCGACATAGGGAGCAGCCTATACCTGTAATGAAACAGCAAAATGATTAAGTTTTTATCAAAGATTGGAACAGATTTGATAGAAATCCGCTCCTGATGCATAGCATAGATATTTACTCTATTATCTATGTGCATAGCATAGATCAGTCGAGACGCACCCTACTAAAACTGAAAATATTTTATTTGCAATGGAAGTAGGCATTACCTTGTAAAATGAAGTCTAATGAGGATAACTCGTGTGATGTTCTCTTTCTTGAATATTTACTTGTGTTGGACTATTATACAAACTTTCTATTTTGTTTTCATTTATAAAAAGTGGACTCCAAAATTGTGTGGAGTAAGTAATGCTCAAGGAAGCTTCTATCTATAAGTTTGTATCAGTTCCGTAGTTTTGCTAGGTCTGGCACATGTGTGAAAAATCTGTTTTTGTAAAGGTAAGTTGCACAATGGATTTTTAATTGAATAATGTTATTATAAAAAGAGTTATACACAAAAAACCCTTGATTTAATATTTTTTTGCATAGATACAGGTTTGTAGTTAGTCTCGCCCCGCCCTTTTGCTTCCTGCGGAGGAAGCATCTGGAGACACTCATAGTAAAAATTATGCAAAGGAAACCACGTGGTTGGCTCTACATCATGTGACAGAGAAGACCAGATCAGTCAAAACAGCTGGAAAATATGCTTGCAGCTAAAATAAGACAAGGATAAAGCTTCTTGGACATCTCTTACAGATTTGAGAGCAGCAGCTCTTTACAAATTGCCATAATATTTACTTTTTTATTGATGACATTTTATTGTAAACACGTGACATTACTACATCATAAGTGCCATGGTGTCGTAGTAAGCAGCATAATAATGCTGCTCTAAAACTTTGAAAAAAAGTCCAGGGAGTGTTACAGGCTCCTTCCAGCTTTTATTTGATCCTTATTCTTCTTTTGTCTTAAACAGAGCTCTCCGGTCACATTACTACTTGTCCTACACGTGGTTTGAGCAATCTGATTGGGATGTGGATTTCTCTGCATGAAGCACACATTTTTACTGTGAGTGTCTCCAGACTCTTTCTCCGCCAGTAGCAAAGGGGCATGGCGAGACTAGTTTGTAGTAAATTACAATATTATATATTCACTTGACATAGTGTCTGTGATTCTTTCCTCCTCCAGTTCTTTGCTTTCTTCTGATGATAAAGATTCACTGTCATTGCTTATATGTGGCTGAAATAAATTTAAATTAGTACAGTTGTAGCAACGACAGCCTGGGCCACACAAGGATTTTCTTCGCCTACAGCCACACCAAGCTGCACAACCCTTTTACAGGTACAACTGTAAAGAAGAAATTTCAAATTTTGAGTTATGGCTTTTTGAATTTTTTGGTCCTCCCAGTCAATGTAGTATGAACAATCTTCAGCTAGAAGCAATCTACTGTTCTGGAGGAGTTAGGTTATTGTAAACGTCACTTAAATGTGAGTCTTGCCTCATTGCACATATGTATGTTACACGTAACCAGTGTCGCCACTAGTCAGGTGGGGCCTGACCCTTGCAACGAGTATGGGAGGTAATTACCGTATAGCGGGAAATTTTGGAGGGAATTAAATTTGGCGAATTTGGCGTTTTAATAGCCATTCGCCAAAATTAAATCCGCCATTTTGAGCCATTATACGCATGCTCAATGCACGTGGCCACCAATTCACCAAATTAAAATCCGCCAATCACCAAAATTTAGCAATTCGCCAAATTTTAGTCCCTCCAAAATTTCCCGCTATACGGTAGTGTCAAAATTAGCATACTTGCAGTATTAATAACATGGTCATTTACGTCAATAGCATGGTCACATTTCATTGATAGCATGGTCACTTTTCATTGATAGCATTGTCACTTTTCATCTAAAGTATGAACACTTTGGCATTTACAGTATCACCACTCTTTATCAATAGTATGGTCACTTTTTATTAATAGCATGATAGCATTTTCATAATAGCATTAAATTTTAATGATAGCTATGCCACGCCCACATGTGTACCATGTGCTCTCAATGCTGTGTTCTTTAATTAGAATAAACGCCAATGTCTGGAATAAGGGAGTTAGTGGCTGCACAGGAACAGCTAGAACGTGCAGTTGATAAGCTAAAATCTAGCCCAGAAGGTAGAATTTGTCTTATACAAAATTATTACTCACTCTCTTCCATTTAAAGCTCAACCAAGTGCATCTTCAGGTTCAGGCTCATCCTTGGGTTCTGGCTCTCACCCTGGCAGCATTCCAAGTACTAGCAGAGGCATCAATAGGGATATAAATACACCTACACATAATATTTGGAATCCAATGAGTATAATTAATGGAGAGCGAAGAGCAGGTCACAGTAGTAAACAGTTAAAACCACCAGCAAAAAAGAAAGCCAAAGTCCCTTCATGGACCCACAATTTTGTTTGTCTCGCTCGCGTAGAACAAGATATTGTTCCTGATTCAAGTGAACGTGCTGTTCTACAAATTGCTGGTTTGGGTGAAAAGAAAATTCAATTTCCAGTTGATGCTGATTCATATTATGTATATGATGAGTTGATTGCCAGTTTCCCAAAGTTACGTAATTGTGGTGGGTTTGAACTGCTCCGTACTCATGACAGGTCGAAGCTACTGATTGAGATTGAGGTTCCTCCATCAGGTTACACAGTTGCATATTTGAAGCCTGTGGTACATAACGCTAAGATTTTTATTCGGCCATTGCAGAAAGATTTGTCCCTAGAGCCTGAGAAAGATGATGTTAGTTCCATAAAATTATAATATGTGTTACATAGTATCATAGCATTTTGCGGCATACAAATAATAGTTTATTGTACTTTTAGTGGGAGCTTCCGTGCTCTGTTGAGGAAGAATGCATGTTTTGTAAGGAAAAGATTAGTATTAATGTGCTGAGAAAACATTTAGAGAATTGCAAAGAAAGGTATTTTTGTAGATAAAGGGTTTAGTTTTGGTTTATGTATACATTTTATTGTATAGGGGAACCAATACTGATACTATTTCACCAGACCCACCACTAAATTTAGAGATTGCTACTAACGATGGACATGAGGATAAAGTATAAGAATAATATGTAATTATTGTTCATATTGTTAATATTATTTTTAGGGAGGAACATCTTTTGAGGAGGAAATTGTATGTTTAGATGATGACTATGCTGATTCTTTGTTAGTGCCTTATCTTACAAATGATGAAACTATTGACATTAAGTAAATTTAATTTGTATTAAGATTTTATTTTTTAATTTACATTTAGGACAATTGAAGATGTTGCTAAGAGTTTGAACAAGTTTGTTTGTGATTTTGATGAATTTGATATGGTAATCAGACGATCTGCTGTCCTTACGGATGCCTTACGTCGTATGGATAAAGCTTCATTTGATCCTGCAAAAAAACTGAATGTTAGTAGGGTATATTAACTTGAAATAGATATTCTAATTCTAAAAAATAGGTTGTTTTTGTGGGAGAGGAAGGTTCAGATTTGGGTGGATTGACTCGGGAATTTTTTAGATTACTAAGCCATGATATATCATCATATATTGACTGTACTGGGTGTTTTACACATGATTCCTTAGCTTTTCAGGTATATCATCATTTTTGTTAACTTTTTATAATTAAATGTATACATAAAGAATAACATTTACTTAAAACTTGGAATACTTGCTGGTATGGCATTGTGTCAAGGTGCTGGATCTTTTCCTGTACTGTGTCCTTCAGTATACAAGTTTATGTGTGGGACAAACCCAACTGATTTAGCGCCAACCATTGATGAAGTCTCTGATTTAGATAAAAGGACTCTTTTGCAACAGGTACATGTAGCTGATGTAATTTTTTTACTTGTAAATTTTAATAGATTATGGAGTGTGATGAAATTGTTAAACTTCACAATTTGCTTTCTTCTAATTTGGAGTTGTTACTTGACAGTGGCTTTAACAAACCTGTTACCAATGTCAAATTGTGTGACAAAGAACAAATTTTGAAAGCCATTACACTTCATTCAGTTATTTTAACAGTAGCAGCTGAACTTTCTCAGTTTTGAGATGGTATTTACAAAGTGAAAGGTCTTCAGACCATGTTAGAAAAGTATCCAAATCTTTTGGAATCATTTTACTGCAATTTTAAAGTTACTTTAACAGCAGGTACATGCATTCTAATTGTCTATATTTTATATTTGCCTTATTTTCTTAAATCTGGCATTAAGTACTGTATCTGTAAATTATAAAATTTCTATTACTTTTTAGAGATTTTATGTAGACTGTTCACTAAAGTCATCTACTCTGAACAAGGAAGCAATGATAGGGAAGAGGAAGCTGCAGCATATAAGTTTTTCATTAATTTTTTTGGATGACTGTGAAGAAGGTATTATTTTAAACATAAATTTTATTAGAATTTATACATGTATCTTATTTAGGCAAGAACTGTGAATCTGTAACACTTCCAATGATTCTTTCATTCTTCACTGGAGCAGAGTGTGTACCACCAATTGGTTACAAAGAGGTCGTACTTAATTTTAATAGTGTTAACTTTTATCCTACTGCTTCGACTTGTGCCATTCAGCTAATATTGCCTACGAGATACAAGGATTATGATACCTTTAAACAAAATATGATCGTTGGCATAACTATAAATGGAGGGTTTGGTCTTATCTAAAGTTTTTGATACTCTTGCTTCACTTTATCTTTTTTGTTTCACTTATCAAACACTTGTTTTTCACTTATTTAGCATTTTTGTTGCCATTTAATCATTCACAATAGCAGTACCATATATTACTTATTTCTGTATAATAATTATTGCGTGATTATAGTCTGGATATACCCACTCTAATATATTCTCACTATTGGTTGAGATATTTTTCAATCATTAATCATATTAAATTAAGTTTGTGGCAAACGAATTGCAAAACTTTCAAAAATATGTCCACCCCGAAACTGTTACTGTTATCAAGGGGAGAAATAGTTTCTTGAAGCTCTAGGTAATCTTCATCTGTCAAGGGATTATCAACATCAGGAACATTCACATAGTTAGTATCTTCATCTGATAAGGGACCATCCCAGTCTATTCCAAAATATGGCAATTCACCCTGTATGATATATAAACAATAATGATAGATCTACATTATTAACTATTATGGAATTTACTTGATTTACTACATATTGATCAATGAACAGCCCATTAGAAAGACCCTGTATCCACAATTGAATTGGCGTCATGTTGTGACAGCTTGAAAGTGGATGGTTATTCCAAGCTTCCATAAACTGAGTTAGTGCATGATTTATTCTTTTCAAAAATACATAATGAAAGGCAAACATGTGTATATCATCCTCAATGTTTAGCAGCATTTCATCCTCCATTTGATAAAAAGTTTTATAAAAAATGATCAAGCAGCCCTGAAAGACATCATGCCACAAACGTTCAATTCTCTGGTTATGAACTGATTTTCCTGCAATAAAGCTACCTCGACCACTGCCTCTTTGTCGTACCATAAATTCAGCTACCCCAAAATTCTCACCTCCTCTATCACCTCTAACTCGACTAGGCAATCCCAGTAATGTTACAGCATTTGTGAAATGGTCAAGTACTGTTTCAGATTTGTTGTTGCTTGAAGCTTTTAGATATATAATCCTTCTACTAAATCCATCCACACAACCATGAACAACAATTTTCCACCTATAAAATAAATGAAATTATGGTCTATCACTATTAATTATTGTAGAATACCTGATAAGTTTGTGATGTCCATCAATGTGATAAAGAGACAATGGGCTTGGAACAGAGTACTGACGACGATGTATGGCATTTAGCCTGTGCAATGCTGTTCCAACAGGGTCAATTCGTCTTTGAAAATCTCTTAAGCGAGTTTGTTGGATTCTGTAGCCTCTGGAAATCAAATGACCTTGCATTTGTCGATTGCCACACATAGGATATTGCTGCTGTATATGCCCCACAATGTGATCCAACTCAGAATCAGAAATAGTAGAATAGCAATCTCTAATAAGTATGTGGGCATCTGACAATCTTCTCCTCACAGTACTGATAGAAACACCCATAATATTGGCAATTTGAGGAACAGTGAATCTATTTTCTATTAACATCTCTAATGTGTCTTCTGGAATTTCATATCGTGGACGACCAACTTCACCAGTATAACACACAACAGCAGTTGGTGATGAAGAAACTTCAGAAAGCTGAGTTGAAAGCTGAATCTGTCTAATAACACATAGACATTGACGTACAAGATCAATTCCTTCTCTTTGCTCAGCAGACAACTCATCAAGTAATTCTATCGCAACTAACTCCCTGTAAGCTAGCTCTATATTGGTTAAGAAGGATTCTAAATCATATGAGGTTAAGAAACGACGATCTTGCAGCTGTGACAGGTCATAAATCACTCTTTCTAACAATGATACACATTGCCTAACTTTGGCCATTTTAAGACTGAATAGTGCAAGACCACACCTTAACCACGCCTTTATCACACCCTAAGGAGTAGTCTTTCACTAATAGTATAGTTAGATTATACTACATTAATCCGCATGCTGTTAGCTATACTATTGACAAAAAGTGGTTGCCTAAGTGGTCATACTTTAGACAAAAAGGGACCATGCTATTAATGAAAAGGGACCATGCTATTAATGAAAAGTGACCATGCTATTAATGAAAAGGGACCATGCTATTAATGAAAAGTGACCATGCTATTAATGAAAAGGGACAATGCTATTAATGAAAAGTGACCATGCTGTTAATGAAAAGAGACCATGCTATCAATAAAAGTGACCATGATATGACTGAAAAGTGACCATGCTATGAATGAAATGTGACCATGCTATGAATGAAATGTGACCATGCTATTGACGTAAATGACCATGCTATTAATACTGCAAGTATGCTAATTTTGACACTAATTACCTCCCATAAGGTCAGGAACAATCCAACACCCGTTTTTGTAGCACTGCACAAATTCTTGCAGTAGGCAGGAAGTGATAAATAATGCATCATAACCGTAATAAAACTAGTAATACAAATGGATGAGTCTATACAAAAAGTAGCTTCAATGTTTGGCTTGACGTTTGACATAAAGCTA